GAGCCCAGCGAGGGCTGGAGCTGTGCCAGGCCTTGGCATGGAGCTCAGGGAAAGGTTCTTCCCCCCGAGGGTGCTGGCACTGCCCAGGCTCCCCATGGCAGGGGTCACAGCCTAAGGGCTGTCAGAGCTCAACAGAAGTGCTTGGACAATGCATTCAGCCTTTTAGAGGGTGAGATTGTTGGGGTAGCCTGTGCAGGGCCAGCAGTTTGGCTCCATGATCTTTATGGGTGCCTTCCAACTCAGGACATGCCATGATTTTAAGTGTTTCCCTAATCCTGTGCTCAGCTCCAAGGGTTTGCTCTGTTTGCTCTTTGTTTTCATGCAGGAATGAGACTTGATGCCAAACTCCTTGTTCATCTGGACAAAACAGAGACGTGTGGGCAAGGTGAGAACTGTGGCACACTTTGGTCCAGGATGTTGTGCAATCCCTCAGTGGGATATCAGACAATGTCTGCATGTCACATGCAAAAGCTTCACATAAAGAAAAACACCAAATTAGGACTAATCAGGAACAATCCCTGGTGGATCCTGTTTAGTTTCCACTATCAACTGCCTGGGAAATCAGACAGCTTCCAATGCTCTGCAAAAGTATTTCTATTTTCTACTTGACTGCAGAGGTTTGGGGACAAGTAAAGTTTCCTTTTAGAGCTTTTTTTGCACCTGCCTACCAAAATGCAATCAAACCACAAAAGTGTTTTTCATATTAAACCCCCCCTCAACAGAAAGAACAGTTTTACTAAAAAGAGTACGAGCATTGAACAGAAAGGCAAATTACATGTTTGTCTGGTAATAATGAGCATTTATTTATCCTTCAGCAAGATCTTTATCACTTACTTGTTTTTTAATTAAAGAGACCAATAAGAAAGGTAAGAAACAACGGAAGCTTCTTTCTGTTGTTTGGTTGCTGAGCCCATTCTAACGCACATTTTATGTCTGTATCTCTTGCTACAATCACACTATATTACTATATAATTTCTCATGCTTTAAGTAACCACTGAAGATTGTCTTAGTTGTGGAAGGAAGGGAGGAGTAGAACTGCATAAACACACAAGGCTCATTTGCTTTAAAAAAACCCCTGTTGTTTCCTCCTTAGCCTATTTTATCATAACAACATTTGCTTTTGGTAGAGCAGCGGAACCTCACAAATATTGTATCTCCCTAGAAGTGGGGGAAGAAACACACTTAAACCATCTTTAACCAACTGATTAAAGGCTGAGTGCACATGTCTAAGTTAAAAACATATTGATACAGCTGAATATTCCTCAAATTCCTCAAACTGTACAAAAAACAGAATGAGGACACAGAAATTCAAAAACCCTCAAGTAGGTGAGTCAGTACTCACCTTTCCTGCTACTATTACACTGCATTTGCTAAAAGTAATCATGTTTCTAACAAGAAGTAGAAAGAAACCACATATAAGAGATTACATGGGTATACCTGGTATTTATTTGAATCATCCAACTTTATATAGGCCCCATTAACTTTAAAATATTTTATGCAGACTTTTTTGGAAGATGGCCACTTACATTCTTTTCTTGAAAACCAAATAAAGAAAAATAACATCATTCACAATGTGAAATAAGATTCCCTTCAGCTTTTCTATTTCTCCTTTTATTCATGTCTGTCCTAGTAATTAATATTTGTCAATATGATATGTTATGTGGGCTTTTTTTTAAATTACAGAAAACTCATAAGTAGAATAATAGAAAATATTAGAAAATACACAAAGCAAAACTAGAACAAACTACTTCAAGGATTTTTCCACAGTCCTAGAGCATTTCCTGACAAGTTTGCATCCCTACTCACCTACAAAAAAACTCTTATTTGTTGCTTTCAGGGTTTTAGGGTGCACCATCATCTCTTAAGCAATAAAATCACAGCAACAGGAACAAAGTAATGCTGCTGCAATGGACTGCCTGTAAGTCTATTATGTGAAATGGTATCTTTCATATCTTGGATCAATTTATGGGATAAGTAATGACATTAAGGATACCCTGGTAATAAGCAAGCACTTTTCACATTATCCAAGGAGTTTGTTGTAGAATAACTGGTTTGCAAAACCAGCCAGATCAACAATACCTGTCACAAACAGGCTGCCTGTTCTGCTCCAAAATGCACCAGCACAAAGGCAGAGAACCCACTGCAGGAGACATTAATGATGGATCTGTTCTCTTTGTACTATGCTTCCTGATACAGTCTGGGGATATATAAATACATGATGATCAATGTGTTTAATGCAAAATTCTGTGCCTATCCATAAGCAGCATCTAGCTTCTGTTGTTTTTTTTTGAGCCAACTGAAAGTTCCCTCTTGCTATCAACTGAACTCTACCATTGTTGTTAAAAGGAGACTTGAAACTACATGGCTTCAGTTCTTTAAACAGTTTCACTGGTAGCTGAATATCTTGAAAACAACTGCAAGGAGAACAGAAATTGAAGCTCCACTAAGAGAAATCTTATTTTCAATCCATGATATTTTTATATCTCCCAGATCTCCATAAATAACGGACTTGAAGCAGGAACAAAGCCATATATATTCAGAAAGTGTCTTCTGTTTAATGTGCAAATGCAAGAATGATCCTAGCTGGACAGACAGATCAGGACAGGTCTAACTGTTCTTGTCAGTACCTAGTGGCAGATGCCTCAGGAACATCAAAACAAGACAAGGATGCAGCCATAGTCATACTGCCTTGCTACTCAGCTACAAAGAGGCTAAAGCCAGTATTTTGGCTTTTGGGACATCCCATTGCCTCTGTTTCTTCTGAAAATTATCTAGAGGTTTTTTTAAGACTATTTAAACTTTTTTGCATTCAGCATATTCTCTGGCAAACATAGAAATGAATCCTGAATTTAAATTTCCATATAAAAACAAACCTCTTTATTTTAAAGATGCCATTTACTAATCTTATATGTTGCCTACTTAGAAAATACAGGTTTTTTCCTCCTGCTTTTTCCTGCCACATGTGATTTTATAGATCTGTAATGGCACTCTCTCATCATCTGTTTTCCACTTTGAAGAGTTTCAGTCTGGTTTACTGATAATTTTGTCATTTTACCAATAACTTCAAATCTTCCTCCATGGTTGAAATACAAGTTAAACAGTAGACTGTCAACTTGTTCTTACATGCAGCAATACACTGTAAATTGAAAGAAACAGCTTTTAAAAGAAGAAAACCTCCTTACCACTGGGTGGCTTGGGTCGTGGAGGGACATTTTTCTTGGGTGGTAATGCTGGTGTGTCTGATTTGCTTTTGAAAGGGTCATCTGTGAATCCTGCCCCTCCAAAAGAGGAGGCAAAGGGGTCTGAAGCTACTGACTACATGAGAAAAAAGAAAAGAAAAGGGATGTAAGCACACTGGAGAACACCTGTGGTTTCATTAAGCTACAGGTTAAATAAAAGCATTAACTTCAAAACCTGAGGGCAGATGTACAGAATTGTCACTGGTGTAGGAGGCTCATGCCCAGTGACAGAGGTGCTAAGATTCCGTTAACATTTAAAAGACTTTATGCTCTTAATAATTTAAGTACTTCCAGAACTTTTAGTCCTAGCAAAAAAGCTGATGAGGAAATAAAAGGAAGTAAAACTTTACTTTTTACTATTTGGCAATGAACAGTCACACCACAGCCTGACCTTCACTCTAATAAACAGAACCATGACAGAACCTGGAAAAACACTGTAGAACGGATAACTTTAATCCAAACTTTTCTGAAGTTACACATAGGTATTTGACATTTTAGTCAAAACCTTAGGGAATATCCAAAAGCATGTGTTTAAATCTTACAATATTCACACAGCTTTTCTAAAGGACTCTCTTATTAATTAAGAAGCATGTAATTATTATGTTGTGCAGGGAAATTTATCACTGTGAAATGAAGAAAGAGGAATTTTGTGAGCAAAGGTGAAAACTGCAGTCAAGCGTTTGCTAAAATTTCTACCTCAACCCAGACATGTCTATTGGTAAAGGCTGTTGCCATCTAGTGGAGAGCTAAAACCCTCCCCAAAATAGTAAAAGTTAGGGAAGGAAAAAAAAATCCAAGAAATATAATTAGTCAAAGTGAAATGATAACCTATTTTATTTTTAACATTTACTCCACAGTGTTCAAGTGTTACTATAGAACTAATGTAAGGAGTTGGGCACTGATGTTAACTGTAAATTCCAAACTCCACCTCAGGAAAGCAGACCAAGACCTTTCCAATTATCTATATTTTTCATGTGTGTCCTGAACCTTTTTCTTCATCTGCTATTTAAAATGAACAGAAATTGCACTTTTAAAACATGGCAGAGACTGACTGTTCAGAGTGGAGTAAGGTTAGGTTACATATATTTAGTAGCACAGTATTTTGTTAATAGTTGGACTCAATCTTAGAGGCCTTATCCAACCTTATTGATTTTATGGTAAGTTTAGAAACAAGTCAGGATACTTACTATGAAGTAACCAAGAAGCAAATTCCAGGGCTTAGACGAAGGCTGGATACTGAAATATATTAATATCTGCAACAACTACCTCTCCTTACAAGTTAAAATTACAAGTTAATTTATTTTCCTGATCTGGTATTTGAAAATATTTGTGAAAAGTCTATTTTTCCCTACTGAATCTACTAGTCTTAGTAAGACTTTGCCATATCTGACAGGGCTGGAAAATTCTTTGCTATATAGCTGGTGAGGCTGATCGGAAAAAAATGAACAAAACCAGATTGCCAGCTGGAAAGTTACAATCATATCACACTCTTTTAAAAAGTGTCTGTACATATATTTTTAAATGGACAGTTGCTCTCCTTTTAACATTTACCTTTGACATCTGACTGAAGTCTGCAAACCCCTCACCACCACTGAAAGCACCACTTCCAAATGGATCCAGTGTTCCAAATGGATCTGGAACAGATAAGCAGGAAAAAAAAGTTATTTTGAATAATACTTCAGAATTACAACAAATGCATGGTGGTGCCAATGCCAATGAAGCACAAAACTAGGCAAGTGGTTAAAAAACACCTGCATTTTAACCTGCCATGAGCTGTTCAAAGAGAATTCTATAAAACAATAGGTTTTCTGCCAGTTGTTTGGAGGGAAAATATGAGAAGAAACAAGTGACATATATAGTGCCACTCAGACAGCCTTTATGAACTGTAACAAGACCATGATGTTTTTTGACAATGGTTCACAAGACTCTTTACTCTCAACTCTTATATTTGATTCTTCTCTCATAAAAAGATATCTCATAATTCATCTTCATGTGAAAATGTTTACTGCTTACCTGGACCTTTTGAAGAGATACTGGAAGACGTAAAAGGATCAGTGCTTTCAAAAGGGTCAGGCTAAATAAGAACAGATATACATAATTATTTTTCTGCTGGATTGTGCACTTACCATTTCATGCCTATCAAAATCTCTTGCTTTAAGACAAATAGTTTCCAGTTTCAGACCACTCTATTCAGTGGACAGAGTAGGATAAAATCAACTGATTATATGGAATTTACATTATTAGTGCATTTGGCTATTGATAGCCTTGAACACAACACCAGGTACCCACAGGTGAGAAAAACATCCCACTGCAATATATGCAACATTAACTACCGGGGCAAAATATGAAAATACACCCAAAAGTGTTTAGCCTTTAAACAACAGAGAGAATATTCAGGTCATGCATTTATATTATTATTAATTTAGGGAGTCTGTACACTGCTTCTTTTTAAACAGATGGTTTTAGAGCTGCTCTTCAGTTTGACAAGTCAGCTTTTATTTAAGTACAACCCTATACTGCAAGACAAACTAACTTCCCACAGACTCAATCTGGTCTTGGGTAGCAACACTCAATGAACTGCATAAGAATGAGGGAAATACTAATAAAAACAAACCAAGAGATTCATACTCCCCCCCAGACAAGCACACACATGTACATCAGGACAGCTCAGAACTGAAAATATGGCTATAAAAAGTGTGTGTTCTGTGCAGTCTGTGCTGCTTCAGAGTCTGCTGCAGGCTTAGGAATCCTTTAGCCAGAGCAGCTCCTCCATCTCACTCCCTATGTGACTGCAGAAATCTATGGGATGGAGGAAATGGTGGGAATGAGTGAGTGCTGCTGGTTTAAAATTCCCAATAGAGAGGAAAGATATCCACCTAAAAGTACCTTCATGGTGAATGTATCTCATTATCATGGAACCAGAGAGAACACTGCTGATTGCCTAAACAATCTCCACTTACATTTTAAGAATACAATTAATGATATTTCATCATTTAGGAAAAAAAGCATTTTGTGTTATTTCACTCCTTTTAGCTTTCAGACAATAATAAGCCTGTCAACAGTAACGAAATCTATTAAGTGTACATTTTAAAATTACTGACCTTTGAGGGTAAAGTGGGGGTTTTTGTGAATGGATCTGAGGTAAATGGGTCACTCTTCACCTGTTTCTTGAAGAAATCCTCAGGGGCAGAACTACGAAATGGGTCACTTTCCTTAAATGGATCTCCTCCAAAAGGATCTAGAAGGAGCATGAAAAGGTAAATATAATGTAGCACTTGTGTGTCTATAAAGAACATTCTGTATTTGACCTCATACTCACTGATACAATTTTTCTTACATAAACACAGTGTTTTGATAAATCTGATAGACTTCCAGAGACCTCTCTAAAGAGGGTATTTACTAAGTTTGAGCAGTGTGTTTATATGAAGCTTTCAGACTTAATAAAAAGTTACACACTTCTCATTAAACATATTGATTCTGAATATATATATAAACCTGTTGGATTTCTATGTTCCCACATGCAAAACAAAAATCTGAAGCCAGGGAAACCTTTAGGCTTCCTTTGTGTTTGTAGATCTTTGTGCTTGGCTACAAATTGTTTATACCACATCTGTCCTGTCATTAAAAAGAGATATTACCTGCTGGAGCAGGTGGTTGTTCTGCAAAAGGATCATGCTGGAATGGGTCACCTATGCAGAAGAGAAAAACAATTTGTTTTATTTATTATTTAGCAAGATGATAAAAGTTTGTGAAAATATAATTTACTCAACAATTGATCTTCAAGGTCCTAGATAAGCATTTGTCACTTACTGCCTTTGAAGGGGTCTGCTCCCTTAAATGGATCAGATTTGAAAGGATCTTCTGACTGGAATGGGTCTGTATGCAATTCTTGTGTATTATTGGTAAACATCAAGGCTTTATTCTTAAATGGATCATCCTAAAAATGAAGAGGAGAAATATCAGAGGAGCTTATCATTATAAAAATAAAAATAAAACACCCAGTTACCCATTTAGAAGAAATTGTATGCTACCTAGGTTCCTGTTTAACAGTCTTTAAAATTCCTAAAGAACTTTCTGAATATGTGACTTCTAAGTAGAAGTAATTACACAGCAGAAGGAAATGTGTACCCCAAGGCTACACAGAACACCAAAAGATAACAATACATATAGCAATTAAATGTTAAACTGTTGCCCATATTAATATATTCAACTCTCAAACATTTAAATAACAAAAGCAAACCAACCTCAAACATCACAGTATCAAAAAATTCTTCTCCCCCCATTATAGTTCAGCTTCAGGTAACATACTTATTTAAAAGGAAAGGATATAAAAATAATCTGTGGACTAGAAATACAACAAATTACTACTGGGTAGTCAGATACTAGATTGCTTCTTGTTAACTCATCTTTGAGCTTAAAGCTCCCAACACTGATTTCCCATGAAGGAAGAGTCACCCCAACATTTTGATGACAGAGTTTTCTCAGCAGAGGCCAAAGCTACATTTGTCAAGTTACAGAAAATACCCTGCATGAACAAGCAGCAAACTGAAGTTATGAAACCCCTTCATGACAATCATTTTCATGATACCCCTGGCTTGGGTTTTGTTTGGAGGTCTCTGATGAAACCCCAAGTGCACAGCAAAATTCCAGGGATAATGGGAGCCATTCCATCCCAGCAAAAGGAATAGCCAGAAACAATTCCCCACTTACACTGCCCCCAACACCAGAAAGAGACAGGATTTATTTCATCCCTTTACAAGATGCAAATGAAAATGTCCTAATTAATACTTCTCAGAACAGCAGGAGGGAGGTGGGGAGAGAAGGAAGAGGAAGGAAGAATTGAGAAACAGGAAAGTGGCACAATGGTTTAAAAAATTGCTATGAATACAGACTGGTGTTTTCTGCCAGTAATTGGCTCCTAGGTTTTGCAAGAAAACATCTGGAAGTTTTCACTGGAAATTAAATATATTTATGCAAGCCATGCAAGCACAGAAACTAAGCACTAAGATACTCTAGTACAAGTTTCTCAATGTACTGTTCTTTTTAATCTACACTGTTCTTCTTTTGAGCAGTTTGTTTTTACAGAGCAAGTGTGAAGTGCTGCATAAAAGCAGCAATGCCTGATAAATACTTATTAACACATTACATATTCAACTTCATATTAAACCCCCAGCAAATACTGTGCTTACAACAGTAAACAAGTTTCCATAATGAAGAAGGGCCATATAGATGTGCAAGCAGAATCAAGCAAGGATGAAACTTTTCATCTTGTCATATTTAAGAGAATAAATAAGCTTAAAAAACAAAAGAAAATTTTTGTGTTTTAGAGGAATATTTAATACCCAAATCACCCAAAAGAAATTGACTCAAAAAATGTTTAAGAACTTGAAAGATTTTATGATTTGGGAAAAAATACTGATTAAATAAAAACATAATAAATGAGAAAGATGATGCTGAAATTATTTAAGCAAAAGAGAACCATCCTTTCAGAAAGGGAGCATGAGATATCTAATAAATATAGCTCATTATTAGTAAAGTAGAAATTTGTAGAGCTTCCTTTGGAAATAAGAAAGAAATACATGATAAACGAAAATTTACAGCAAAAGAAGGTTTCACCTTGGTGAAGTGGAGAAGAAAAAATGAAACACTAAACTGGAAATAAAGCCCCACCTCTGTCCTGAGACTGAACATGTGACAGATTACAAATCCACAAGACCATGTGCCAAATACCAGCTAAACAATACTTCAGATGAGGTGCAAGTCAGAAGCTTAATTAGTGTAAAATACACTAAATAACAGTATTTTTTTTACCATAGCTCCATAATTGCTTCTTTCTGTCTGCCCAAGGCCTTCACTCATGTCTGCTAAATTTGTCAGACTCCCACCATTAATCCCATTGAGAGCTTCATTGTATTCTTCAATGCTCTTATTCATTTCCTGGTGGCTCTCTTGCAGCTGAGAGAGTTTACTTCTTGCCTGAAAAGAAAAAATGCTTTAGCATGTTACACTCAAGAACACTGGCATTCTTACATTCTTACACTCTCCTTAAACACTGGTGCCTGACTGTGGCATTTTATTCCCAGAGGAATTGAATGCTTCCTGACTCAAACCAGGAATTTGCCTACTAAACACCAGTCAAAAAGCCTTATTTCATGAACCAGGATTTTTTCCTCCTCTGAAAAAATATTTTTTCAACTCATTTCAAAAGCAAAAATTGTATAAAGCACAGTGAATACCTGGTTTATTTCTTCCTGGGTTGATTTTAAAGATTTGATTATTGTTTCAAGCTGCACTTTTCCAGCCTGGATACTCTGCTCCAGCTGAGTCTCTTCTTGCTGGAGGCGATTCAGCTCTGCTTTTGCTCTATTAAGGTCATCTTCCTGTAATTTTAAATCTGATTCCTGAGACTGAATCTGCATTTTTAGTGATGAAATCTGAAAAAACACAGTAGAAAAATTAAGAGTGAAATTCAGAATTTATTAAATGGTGAATTTACAATAAGTAATAGAAAGTGATACAGCAACCTATCAACTACTAAGGAAAATATTTAGAACTTAATATGAAGTTATGCTGCTTCTGCTGTTACACAAAATCCTTGATAAAAGCACATTCAATAAAACCTAGAGAAATAGTACTTTAAATTAGAGAAACACCCCACTACTTATAAAGGTAAAGCTGTTTCCTAGATGTTCACCTTCATAACTTGGTCCCATTCAAACATTTATCAAGTAATTTAATGTTGATTTTAAGAGTTAAAATTACAGAGTTGCTTATAACCTTCCTTATACACTTTCTTCTGTGACTTCCTTACACAGGAAGTTTCTACCTTAAGGTAATATCCTATTTCCACTAGCAATTGCATCCACCTGAAAACTCAATCCTGATGGCATTCAGAGTGATCAAAACCAGCACCACTGCCATGGACTGGCTCATGGGTTAGGACTACTGATTTTCAACTGCCCTATTAGGCTGAATAAATGTTTAATAAAAATGGGATGCTGCACTTTAATATATTCTCAGAACAATAATTCCTGTACAAAGGAATGGAGATCATTGGCTTAAACTTTTCTTTTATGACCTTTTTGGAAGGTATTAAGGATAGCAAAATCCTTTCTCTGACCTCTATATTTTTGTAAAAATTGCTGTTTGTGGTAAAAAGAAAGTTTATTCATTAAATAAATAGATTTTCCCTCAACAGAAGGCATTTTACCCTTGAGCAGGTCCAGAATTAACATCCACTTACCACCTGTGTTTCTTCCTGGCATTTCTGCCTTACATCATTCAGCATATCTTTCAGTTTGGCTTTCTGCTGGTCCATCTCATCCAGGCGGTCTTGGGCATCTTGTTTTTGAGCCTCCAGCTCTTGCAAGTTACTTGTTTCCCTATCTAAATCATTTTGCAGCTCCTGAAGAAAATTCCACAAATTGTAATTCATATTTAGCTGTTGTCTTAAGGAAGCATCAGCCACAGACAACATAGCAATATTCAGAATATTTTTTATATCATGTATGCTACACCTTGCATTGGCCTATTTTGTTTCTGCAGGAACTTGTGTAAGACATCAGGAAATAAATTACTGCTCACAAGAAGGAAAAGGGACTGTGACACAAAGCACATGGCTTTGAGTTATCCAAATTATCAAAACCAATACTCTCCAAACATTGATTTTCTAAATTACATCTTAGCTAAACACTAACAAAAAAGACATTCAAACTATTCACATATACTATGCTTATATTAGCCAGCATCAGATAAAAACATTTCTCATGGAGAACAGTAAAATAATTTTTTTCTGCCAGTGAGAGGAAACTCCCAAGAAAGAATGAGAAAAAGAATGATAGAATGACAGAAAAAATGCTAAAATGCCACATATTACTTAGATTAACATGGAAACTATTGGTGATAAATGGTTTTTACCTGAACTTCATTGGTTTTCTGTCTGATTGATTCTTCCTTTTCCCTAATGTCCTGCTCCAGAGAATATTTTTCTCTGTCAGATAAACAAGAACATGTATTTATGATTAGTGAAATAATACAACACATGCAAAAATCAATTAAATATTATTCTGGAAACACCATGCAGATAAAAATGGCAGCCCATATTCTCATGTATTCTTTAAAGAAGAAAAGGTGCATAGGTTATCAATTATTCTCTGAAAAATGCCAGCTGTGCCCATCATCAATCTTTTGAAGTCACATGATAGACCTGTAGGGTACCACTAGGAAATTCAGCACCAATTACAGCAACAAATGATGACAAAATGACTAAGAGAAAATAAACTGACACATCAGTACCACAGACATAGTTATTCTATACCAAGACTTTGTTAAAATCCACAATTATTACCTCTGCAGCTGTGCAATTTCCTGACTAATATCATCCAGCTCCTTCACCCCTGTAAATTCTCCTGATCCAACAGAACTTGCACTGTCCTGTGAAGAATAAAACAATCTATTAAAATGTCAAGTTGTAACAGAAACTCTTTCTTTAACAAAGGCTGAGGACAGAGGTGGGATACAAAATCCTCATTATTTGCATTTGCAAAATTCCATAAGAGACATCAAATTATTCTGTAACAAGCAAGGAACATGCCACACAATTCTACCCATGAGACAGGAGAACTTTTAATATGCCTGTTTAACAGACAGGACAGTTGAACACACAGCAATGAAAGGACAGGCACAATCCCAACAAGGAAATTGCAGACTATGGTAGAATTAAAATTCAAAACCTAAAACTCAGTTCTGCTATAGTCAATAATAGTAAAGTTTACATGGGACTTAATGAAATCAGATTGTAATTCCAGTCTTCTAGATCCCTGTCACAAATCAATGGCAATTTCTGCAATTATACCCCATTTCCTATAGGTGGTTTCTACATTCATTCAAGCATAGATCAGGGAAGATACAGAGGGTATCCTCTGCCTTCTAGATAAGTTAAGAAAGAATGCCAGCATTAGGTACAAAACAGGTTGTTTTTATATTATTATTATAAAAAGAATTGCTCTTTGAAAAAAAAAAACCACCACAACTGAGGAAAAGCTGCAGCACTGAACTCACTGCTAGTATGACAAACCAGGAGACCTACAACTTTTATATAGCATTTTGAAAAGAAGAATGCAGAGTTTCCCTGCTTCACTCACTTTGAGCCTCCTGTGATAACCATAGAAAGCTTGGCTTTATTAAATATTAAAAAACAAACAAGAACCCAACTAACAAGCCAAGACCAGCAGAGTAAGATATGACATTTTTGTGGAAACAATAGGTGAATATACAGTTTAAATAATTTAATCAAGTCCTCACTTTTGGGGGATAGCCCTCACTTTTTGGTATTATGCCATTAAGTAATCACAAATAACAACAACAATACAGACTAATTCTTCAAAGAAGCAAAATTAAAAATCACTTTTATACTGTCAGGACAGATAGAGATTTGCTGGGAGACCTGTACTGAATGCTGGACAGGATCACAGCCACGTGTCACCCAGCCTGACTATGAAATAAATTCAAATGAGCTGCTGCACTGGTTAGGACAAGAGTCCCTTAACTAAGCTCACAATAGCACACAGTTTATTTTATCTTATGCTCAGCTAAACACATAATACATAGGAAAAAAAATTTGCAATTAACTGAAAATAGCAGGAAGCTTAAAGCTCTCACACCAAGATGTATTTACTGCTCACAGCTGCAGAAAACTAGTCCAGGAGTAATTTCTACAGCACTGAGCTGCCTGTCCCAGAACTTCCTGCCAGGACAACACATCTCCAGTTGTTGAAGGAACATCACCAGGTCGTCAGCCAGTGCTGGGCACTTCACATTGCTGTGACATTATCACCACACCAAGAGCAAGTGGCACAGAACTCAAGAGCAGAGACAGGCACAGGTGTAGAAATAAAAACTTTTGGAAGTTACAAAAAGCATACATTAGAAATGTGAATTCCTTTGGACACTGCAATTACTCACACGCCGCATTTCTGTTAGTGCTGAGATCTCAGATCCTACAGGGGTCAAGTAACCTGATAGAGTCTATAGGAAAAGAATATAGGAAAAACCTTAGGAGGACCATAGCAAGAGCAGCAATTAAAATATATTTAGAGTTCCAAAGGTTTCTGGTTAGGCAAAGCAAATAAAAGTAAAGAAAAACACAGTATAATTTATAGAAAAGGTGAATGTAGTGACATCACAGAAGAATTTCTTCATTTCAGTTTCAGAAATGCACTGACATGCTATCAAGGAAAGGAACAAAGCAGGGTCAGCAAAGGATCTCCAGTCAAGTGGTATTAGCAGTGATGGATACAGGACTGTGGACTGCTACACAGGATGAATTCCAGAAATTAGGAAGTCATCACTCCTCATTTAGCCATTAAAAAATTTTATGTTTCCATGGGAGGAATTTGGTGCTGATCACAGTCAGGGACAGGCTGCTCAACCAACTTTTAATATTTGCTGTTACAAGTTCCCTGACTTAATCTTCTGTATGACAAAGGATTATTTTTTATGCTAGATTTTTTCCAGCATTATTAATCCTTGGTTAATGGAATATTTTACTGCATTTTTCTTTACTTACTGTCTTAGTTGCTAAAAAAATAGCTATATTTTCAAATGTTAAAAGAATTTTGTTAGAGAGATAAGAAAAAATATTGGTAATTCTTTATCATAATACTAAAAGAAAAACCCACATAAAATTCATACTCAAAGCCCATTACTTTTAAAGCACATAAGTTCAGTGTTATCTACAACAAATTGCTGACTTACCTGGATGGGTGTGTTTCTGTCTGAGGGAGGGATCATATCTGGAGTTAACACCTGTGGAGGATCAATCCCTTTGCTGACCTTCTGCTGAATGAAATACATGGCAAGTGCAAACTGGTCTTTGCTGAGCTTTCCCATCTGTCTCGTGTCTGCCAAAGACCTGATAAAAAATAGATCATACTTACAAACAAGAAAATCTTATTTCTGGTCTACTAAAAAGCCTGAAATACATATATACATGTAATTTCTTCCTGGTTCATCCTCATCAGAGCTTACTTATTCTAGTCAAATTTCCATAAACAGTGCAGTATTTTATTAGACATATTTAACTGAATAGTGTAAGTCTGAGAAACTATTCAGAGCACTAGAACTTCAAAAGACAATCACAATTCACAGACTGACCTATTGCCCCCCTCCCAGAAAAGCAAAGGGAGTATTTATTTCTCTCTTAATTTGCCATATAGCCCACATATTTCAGTATGTGGACAAGTAAAAGAAGTTGGGGTTTTTTGTTGTTTCTGGCATTTTTTTAATGTTAGAATCACACTCTGAATCTGAGTTCCCAGATCAGAAAGTTACAACAATACAGCTACTAAGGAATTCTTACCATATATGTGCTAGGAGATTCTGAGATAGACCTGAATGCATAAAAATGTCCTTTACTTCTTGGCCACTCACAAACCCATCCATGTCTGTGTCTGTTTTTAAGAATATTTCATCATATCGTACTTTTTCAGACACTGGTACCACCCAATTCACAGCTGGCTGCAAAACAAAGGTTGGCATTTCAAAAGAACAGAAATAGTCTTTATGAACACACTGAGTGTATATGACATTATCCAGAGCTGGATGTGCTGAACATTTTGCATACTCCAGTCTGACTAGTAAATAAGTATTTTCACTGCATGGTTTAACTTCAGACTTTTTATCTGAATAAAACCACTGATAAACAGCTATTCATGAGTGGAAAAGCATTAATTCTTCAGAAATACAGACCCAACTAGGCATACAAAGTCCTCATGCTAATAGCAGGAGATTTAGAAGTTGATTAATGATTTCTTTGGAATTAAAGCAGATACACAAACAAAACCTTTCTATGGTTTCACTTTCTACATAGAGTGAAAATTCCCCCTAAGATTTGCTACCTTGTGGTCACTGATTAAAATTCACCCAATGTTCCTCCAAGTCTTACCATTCTCATTTCACCTTCTCCACCCAAATCACCCAAACACACAAGGCAGAAATCAAAAAAATTATTTCTTTTTCCTACAGCTTACAAATACACAAATATCCAAAAATAAGAAAGAAAGGCATGTACCTGTGCTGGTTTGATGCTGTGCTTGGGAGATAAGCTCCCTATGCTGTTCAGACTGTTGCCACTGTCATGGGATGGGGTGGAACGGAGGCTGTCTTTTGGGGGAGGACTTGCAGGGAGAACAGGAACTGCACCAGGAAAGACTGATGTCTTCTTTCTTTTAGAAGGTGGTATGAGAGAAGGAGGCAATTGTGAAGGAACTGACTCTTTCTCAAGAGCTCTGTAAACCAAATGCATTGCCTGCAAAGGCAAAAAGGTCAGATAACATTCACAATTATTAGAAAAAGCAACAAGATCTTCCTGTGTCAGTCATTTACATATTAGTAAAACAAAGACAGTAAGACTAGGAATGTAAACCAGAACAATTAATTTTGAATGTAATTCCAACAAGTTTAATCTTGTTGCAAAGCTCTTGAGAAAGAAATGAGCTATTTGTTTCAACAGACAGACAAGGCAGTGAATTGAGAATTTAAAGCAACCTACCACAGCAAATTCATCCTTGTCCAGGTGACCATCTTTGTCAATATCACTGAGATCCCAGACCTACAGCAATTAAGATTTAAAAATCATTTGCAGACCAAGTTACAGTTTATGTATTCATTGTATTAACATGCCCTCTAAAGACTCCTCAGAGATTTTGGTGAAGATCAAAATTAGTTATACTACCTATCTGAACATTCTCTGATGAAACAGGCTGGATTAGAGTTTTCTGGCCACATGAATCAACACTGCCTCTAACAAATTCTGGCTGCAACACAGGCAGGTTTTTCATCTTTCTATGATGCAATTACAGAGTCATCAAGCTGAGTAGAAGCATTCAGAGGTGACTTTCAAAACTGCCCAGAGGGTGTGGACTAGCAGATCATCCAAATTCCTCACAATAAAGTTTAACAGAAAATTCAATATATATCTAATTCCTATTCCATTCCTAGATGATGAGGGTTGTCTACTAAAAACTAAAACTATGCGCAGCTCCCTCTGGCCCCCTGAATTTCCTGTTGGAGAGAATTTAAGCACTTATCAACTTTAGTTCATTGTTAGGTGAGGCACAGTCAACAAAATTTGCAGAAGATTTAGAGAGATACAAAACTTTGTGAACTCCAACACAGCACTGTTTAATCATCACTATGACCTGGAAACAGTAGAGTTCACAAAAAGCCAAGACTTGAGGCTCAATTGTGAGAACTCTGCTTTATCACTGGACCCTTGACAAATTTAAACTCCTTGATTAGTCCTTTGTCCATTTCCTCAGTGCCTTATCTTGCTCACAGACTTTTCTGGAAGAGACAGAAGCTTCCTGAATTTCTATTGTGACAATAACAAGATAAAGTCCGAAACCTTTCAAGACTTCATGATAGTCAAGTACAGAATTAAAACAAATCATACTTAGATTTTGTAGATAATACAGAGCAAGAGGCACTTCTTCCTGAAGAGATAAAAGTATGTAATGCAGACAGAACTCTTACACAGAATGTATTCAGAAATATCAATATGCAAAGCATTAAAGAGTGTGTTTTTAATGGAGACAGAAAAATACTTTAAGGTCTGCTTCCCTTGCAAATATACAATGGATGCACAAAATTCAGACCTTGGAAGTATTTATAAATACAATAATGAAAGAAAATTTGACAACTGCACTATGAATAAAGGAGGATGTTTTAAGGTATTCTCCTGTACAAAGGATGGATTTAATGGTATGTCTAATAATTCATATTTGTAAAAATTATGAAACAACAGAACCTAATATTCTAACAGCTAGTATGGCTCAGGAAAGCTTTTTCTTGTTTTTAAACAACCAAAATCAAATTTCCAGCTCTTAAATGAATAGAGAGACAATGAAGCCAGTCTACTCCAGGGCTGAAATTACTACTCTTGCTCTACATGGAAGACTTCAGAGTCTTAATGTTCCTGCTTTATAGCTTGCACATAATGCAAAATCTCAGCCAATCCTGATCTCTGTTGATAAATTACATTTTTAACATTGCAACTACAAGAAGTTATATACAGAGTAGCTAAATCTAAACAACTTACTTACCCTTCCGAGGATATCAAGAGGTAGCTTTGAATTCATCAGTACTGGTTTTACTTTGTCTCCTGAAAGTAAACCATTTACTGGCAAAAGGCTTTCAAAAATACCATCAAACTTTGCTTTTTCTTCCACCTAGTTGGTAAGAAATAGTCTGAATAAGTAAAAAAGTGTGTCTGTATGAGTAATGAAAATGAGATCTTGCAAGAAATTAAGACTGGTCAGTAATGTACTCATTCTGAATTTCCAAGCTTTCTTGCAAGTGCCACTGTACTGTATTTAAATGTAAACAAATAGAGAAAGCTTTGAAATTAAGTTCCTAAATCTAAAGGTTACGACAGCTGGGAGATTTTACCAGGCAGCACACAAGGTGTGCTTCTGTTTTAAAGTAACTTTGATAAACTCTATAGAACTAAAACTTACTCTTCCCACTTTGAAGTACATATAACTACAAGTTTTTTTATTAAATTTCTACCTTTTGGAAAATTAAAAATTAAAATTTAAAATTAAATTTCTACCATTTGGAGTTGAAAATTACCTAAATATAAATATCTCCACATACGTATCAAATTTTATTTTCCCCAAATTATATATATTGCTTGTATCATTGAATACTAATTAGAAACTATGAACTCAAGCTTTAAATTAATAGTTCAGACTGGATGTGGTGAAATACTTTGCTGTTCCCAGTGGGGTTCCTTTATACAAAGTGCCTAATTGCAGGATTCTGGAAGAAATCCAGGCAGAAGATTAAAATTCATTTTCTTAAAAAGATCCCACCAGTGGTTGTCATGGGGCTGTTTAACACTTATTGCATATCTAAAACTACACCTTGGTGTTCTCTGTTGTGCACAGGTTTGCACAGAAAGGGAGGACTTCTGAAAATAAAATTCTCTCACTGGGAAAATTACACACAAGAAAAATATTTACTTCTAAAAAATGGATGGAATGTGCTCTCTTTTACACTTACCCTAACAGCCCAGTGAGTCTCTGATGAGGGTGGTGTGATCAGCAAAGGACTGCTAGTGTCATGCTAAAAATGAGAAAAAAATTTATTTATATATATATATAAATAGATAAATATACACACTTCTGCCTCTAGTACTTACTAATTGCACTAAGTTTCAGATAGTTATAGACATGAAGCTTAACTACACTGAGGAAAATAAGCTGCACATGTACCTAAACAGAAGTCACACTCATTTTATAGCATTACAGTACTTGGGTAAAGACATCCAGCAGATGCAGTCAGTATCCAAACACAGAGCCAACACAAGCCAAAGAGGCTCTGCAGCACCTCATGCAGGGCAAAGATGCAGCAATGCCTTTTACTACTCATTCCTGTTGACCCAGCCCCAAAATAATCTTTTTTTGATTCCTTTTTTTACATGTATTCAGAGTTCAGACACATCAGCTTCCTGACTAAGCTGTCCAACTTAAGCTCTGTTTTGGCAGTCCAGGAAGGGGCTGGTTTCTTATCACTCAGCATGACAAGACTGAAAGATTCAGTCTTTCTGACCAATTTCCCTAAATGACTGCATCTCTGTGATGAAGCAGACCAGACAAAATGGGTTCAAGTGATAGAAATAGCACAGCTCCCTATCTACCCATCACCACACGTGATGACATCAGCATCATCCAAGAGGATTCTGTCATTTGGTGACATCTGCTCATGAAGGACCAGCCCAAGACTGTCAACACTGACAGAGACAAAAATGGCCCCTTCCTCACCAAGCTGACCAGACTTAAACTCACTTTGGTTTTGCAAAGTCCAGGAAGGGGCTGGTTTCTTGTCACTCAGCATGACAAGACTGTGGCAGCCCTGGCTGCTGTATCCTAAGGAACTGTGTGACAGCAGCCTGAAGCCCCAGAACTATGACATTTATGAAACAGAAGATATTCCAATGTTCCAACTGAAGCCTTAATTCTCATATAACACATACCTGCATTAAAGTGGCTACTACTTACAAATTTAGGAGGTGGCACAGTCAAGTTCAGACTGCTCAGGTTTACATCGTGGCCGTTCTGTGCACATGCTACAAGGCGCAACGCAAGGTAGAAACCCTACAAACAATTGTGTTATCTATTAGAAAACAGTTTCAGTCACAAAAAATAACCCACTTACCATTTGTAACAACACTGTATATGTACAACTCAGTAAAAAGCAACCTCACATGTACAGCCCCATAATGGCAAATACCCCTTTGCTTTTAAGGATGAGTCCAGAAAAATTTTACAGTAACAGGAAACAAAGAGGAGAAAAGCGGAAGTGTAGTTTTTATGAAGAACTCTCTGCTAATTAAAATACAATTTTTCTTAAAAGTTAGCAATGTTCTGAAAGAGTTCATTGGAATCTACAAGTAACTTGTTATTTTAAGCCATTTTTAGTAAAAATGCTAGGTTTTTTCATGCACAAGTCTTCTAAAATCAAATTACAGTTTTCATTTGTGACTCAATGACTGTGTACCTACACAGTACACACATCAATTATTTACAAAACAAAAGAGAACAGAAAATTAAAACCAAACTCCTCCTGCAGCCTCACTGAGTAATACACTTGGATATGAGCAGTGCTGGGGAAAAAACCCACCTTGTAAACAAAACCTCAATCCTGAAAAAGATAACTACTAGTGGTACTGAGGCTTGCTTGAAACAAGGCTAATCTGGGAAAGGTAATACAAGAAGTGTACGTGAACATTTCATTTACCTGTTTATCTAAGTACCCTTTACCCTCTGGGTCAGCTAAATCCCATATCTGTGGAGATACAAAATAAAAGCTGCTGTGAATTTCAAAGAAAACTTGGTTCAACAGTTCCTACTGCATGTCTTCTTCAAGTGTTCATTCAGCTTTCAAGTAATGATACACAATGTTACTGAAGTGTCGAGCTGACAACAAAAATGTTACACAAAAATCAAATTTTCTTTTTAAAAGTTTTCTTTCACTTCAAAGAAGTGTACATACAAGTACTGCATGATCCAATTCCTTCAACTTACTTTTCCAAGGATGATATCAGAGAGACCAGATTTTTTAAGAAACAGAGCAGCTTCACTTGCCCCAACTCTGCCTGTGTATGCTGGATCTACCTGAAGGAGAAAAATTGACATTTAATTAAAACATGGCTCTTGTGAAAGCAGATTTAAGAAATGCAATATCTCTTGCCTCTAGGTCAAAAGGAGTTACAGAAATTGTATCACCACTCAGAATTCACACAGTTTTAGCACTGCAATGAAAAGAAAGAGAAGGGGAAAAGAAAGAGAAGGAAATCTTGGGGAAGAAGAAACTGAACTTTATTTTTACTTTTTTTAAAGAACATACCTGTTTGTAATATGTTTCATATATTGGATTCCCAGTAGAAAACTGAAACACAAGTAAGAAAACAGAATAAACGACCATAAGAAATGACAGGAAAAGAAACATATAGCACTTTGTGTATTACTCCTATTGAAAACCTAAAATCATGTGTTAATTTGCTGTGTTACAAACTGGACACTTAAAATTTAAGTGTTGATAAAAGTGAGCCACCAAGACCACAGACTACTGTCATCTCTTAGAACTACTCATTCAGCAGGATTCCTACCTCTCCTCACACTTTTACTTAGTGACACTACATAGGGATAAGGTTTTGAAGAACAGCATTGAATTATTTGCTGAAGTATTTCAGGTCTCAGTATGAGAAGGATTGATAACAAAACTTTCAACACAATGCTGACCTGACTACCTTCTGCACCATATACATCCTTATAGAATATCTTCAGCAAACAATTATACACACAGGTCTCTGTGCCTGTGTTAACACATTTTCAAGACTAGGATCTTAAACTGAAACAGAGTAAACAAAACAACAACAAAAAACAAATAAATATATATATGTTAAATGAATGGCAAATTAACAACTCTCACAATTACCTGACAGTGCTTTTGGAGGATTTCAACTTGGTGTAACCACTGCATTATACAAAAGCTGCAGACCCAAGTGAAGTCCTGCCTTTTCAGTGTACTAAACAAGCAGATCCCAGCTCCTCTTGCTGACATTCCAAGCAAATGGCAGCTGGAATGCCAAAAGATGCATTCTATAATCTTCTAAAATCTATCTTTTCACATATCTCCTAGAGTTGCCACATGAGTTCTAGCCCTGTGCAGGTTATCCCTCCACACTGTTCTCAACCTCAATGCCAACAGCAAAACCAATCTGGTCAAAACCAGGTCAGTCCTTAGACCACTCAGAGGCTTCAAAAAGAAAGCAACAAAACAACCCAATAAAGAGTTTAATGAGCAAAACAGAGAGATGTCATAAAACCTGCCTGGGGCAACCACTCTCCACCTCCAGGACAGCAGTTAGACACCTGAAAAGGAGTATTTCACACCAAGTCCCATCATTACTATGTCCCCTCCCAGATGTCACCTTCCTCCTTGTCATCCTCATGGATTTCCAGATGTTCTGCTTACGTTGAGAGGAAGGAAGGCAGGAACATGATGAAAGAAAAAACCAATCAAGAACATGAAAATTTAATTTTATGCCAAGAGAACCTTCCTGTGAGTTTACAATGAACATGCTAACTATTTAAGGAGCTATCCACAATAACTAAGTTATCTGAACCAAGCACAAGCAAACACTGACTCTCTGAAGATTACAGCTCTATTTGAATAGAAAAATCCTGCATTTTCAGAACAGTTTCCTAAGCATCTTAAATGTACTTCACTTATATCCATCCAAAAATAAGCTGCTGCATTTTCCAACATCAGCACCCTCTGGAAGCTCTTGCTCTTCCTGACGGCAGACAGGATTTCAGAAGGATGCTGCAACCATAACTCATAAATCTGACTATTCTTTGTGCTGGCACGTAAATGATCAGCACATGTAAGCATTGTGTTCCTGTCCAAACAGGAAACACATCATTCAGAGAAAAGGTGGAAGTAGGAAATAGCCTGTTCTACACTGAATAAAACCAACATGTTTCAGCCAACTACCACCAAACTATGCAGCTCTTGTTTATCAGAAAGCTCAGACAAGAGAGTCAACCAGCAACTACAAGCTACTCTAAGAGATGCAGTGAGTGACCTGGAGCATGCAGAGACTGGATTTGTACCAAGATACAGAGCAAACCACTCCAGCAGCAGGACTGAATGATCTCATCCCATCAGCAGACACTCCTGTCACCCCCATTTGATATTGTCAGCCATGACTTGGAGCTGACTTACCTGGCAGAGGTGGCAGGAAGCCAGGGTGATGTGCTTCAATGCTGTGAAATTCCTTCTACAGCAAATTATTCACCCAAGCTCTCCTGGGAAGCACTTCAAGACCAATCCTCTACTTGCAGAATTTTACAAAGATTCAGTCTTTCTGACCGATTTACCTAAATGACTGCATCTCTGTGATGAAGCAGACCAGACAAAATGGGTTCAAGTGATAAAAATAGCACAGCTCCCTATCTACCCATCACCACATGTGATGACATCAGCATCATCCAAGAGGATTCTGTCATTTGGTGACATCTGCTCATGAAGGACCAACCCAAGACTGTCAACACTGGCAAAGACAAAAACATTGAAGAGCACACAGCTGATGATGTCAAAGCATAACCTGTTAGAGAGGTTCAGTTTCACTAACAGTTTATCCACCCTGTGGTTCCTATGCCTGCTCTACACTCCCCAAAACACCTCTGACCATCTCCCAAACAGACCCTTCAGAGCTCTAGTGCCTTGCTGGTTAATCTCCAAGTTGACTTCTTGTTCAGAAGTTGAAGTCTCGAGCCTGCAAACTCCCAGCAGATCTGCACACTGTGTTTGTGGTACACAGTGCACAGCCTGGATATTGCTCCAAGTCCCTTAGAGCAGCTCTGGCAAAAAGGCACGACTAAGCACCTGCCACCAGAACAATTAATTCTCTTTCCTGAGGTCATCTCGGGGTCACAAAGAGCTCTGGATCACATTAATTATTTTAAATAAGTTATTATGATGATGATAAATGATTAATGATAAAATATTTTAAACTGCTTGGATTACCCATACTGTTTGCAGCTCTTAATATGTTGGTATCAATAGTCTTATTTTATATCTTTCTGAGTGGACACGCCTCAATGTTACAACACATGTACCCTATCCTATTCAGTCTAATTAAATTTCTGGCATTTACTCTAATTAACACACATCTTCTTAGTAATCACAAAACTAAGGCTATTAGAGGAGGAAGTTCATTACTTTAAAGGAAATTCTGTTTACAGCTAGATTACTCTTGACAGCTCAATATACAAAAACAAGTTTTAGAACTACAATGCTTCCACTGAATTAGTTGGAAAATACTATAAAAATAACTGATATGTTTACAGAATGTGGCCTTTATTCCTCCAAACATAACATTTTCTTTCAAAAGGAATACCATTGATGCCAGTCTCTCAAAGAACAATGAGTATTTAAACAATAGAAAAACTGGATTTCTAAAGTAAGTATTTGATAATTATTTGAGTTTTACCAATATATTATAGAAATTTCACAACTACAAACCCTTGCACATCCAGAACCTATTTGACTTACATATTTTGCACCACATTAATCACTTGAAAATTTTTGATAACAGTTTGTGCATACATGGACATTTTTAGATGTTTCTGAATATGTTCACTTAATCAAACCAATGTTAACCAGGACTCTTGCTAAGCAAAAGCTAAACAGCAAGTACATGTTCCTAGTAAGACACACAGCAAGTTATGTTATCCAAGCACCACATAACTCCACTGAGAGAGAAATTTTTAGAGTATCACAAATCAAAGATCATTATTAAAAGGAAATACATACATTTAAATAATCTGAACTACTAATAGGAGTCATTCAGAATGGCTGACTGGCCTAAGCGCAGGATAGAAAATAGTTTTGGTTTCAAGACATTGACGGTAGTGGCGTGGTGACGCTTTTATTTTGCTTTAAAGCAAATAAGTAAACTGACTCTCTTCACAGGACCATGGAAAATTGTAAGCAGCAATCACACTGCTTAGGCTTGCACTATTTGGCTGAGAAATCAATCAAAAAGGGGCCATGGAAAAGAGTAGGCAGCAATCACACTGCTTAGGCTTGAATTATTTGGGTGAGAGATCAATCAAAAAAACTTGCAACAACAGAAATCAACGCAGGGATCCCAAGCATTCCACCAGAGCTGGAAACAGCCTCTCCCAAGGGTCAGGGATACGCGTCCTGTCCTCTGCCCTGCAGGAGCTTCTCCTCCTCCTCCTGCTGACAGGCGAACGCATCCCGCTCGTCCCTCAGCCCCTTCCCGCTGTCCCCGCACGGTCACGGCCCCGTGCCACAACAGCTCGGCCGCTCCAGGCGGCCCCGACCCCCCGGTACCGAGAGGAAAACGGGGTGACGTGCGGAGCACCAGCCCTCTCTCCTTCCACCCCCCGGCCCACGGTAAGCCCGGCGGCAAGGGGTGGGGAAGCGCCGGGAGAGACCCTCAGGGCCTCCGTGAGGGGCGGGCACCGGCTCACCCTGCGGCCCGGGGGCACGGCGGGGAGCGGGAGCCGGGCGGGGCGAGGGCGGCGGGCGGCCCCCGCCGCGCCCCGACCCTCACTCCCCGCGGGCCGAGCCCCTGCCGCCCGCCGGGCCTGTACACCCAGCGGCAATCCCGGCCCGGCCGCACCCTGGGGCTACCGCGCGGCCCCGCCGAGCTGCCCCGCGGCCGGCGGAGCGCGGCGGCCCCCGGCAGCCCGGTACCTGCTGGCTGAGGGGGATGAGCGCCGCCATCTTCCTCCCGCTGGGTCGGGCCGCGGCCGGGGCGGAGCGAGGGGCGGGAGGCGGTGGCACGGCCGGGCCGGGCCGGGCGGGCCCGAGGAGGCGGTGGCGGCGGCCGAGGGGGTGCGGGGAGCCTCCGGGGACCCGCCGGGGAGCGGCTGAGGGGGCGCCGGGGACCCGCCGGGGATCCGCCGGGGAGCGGCTGAAGGGGTGCCCGGACCCGCCGGGGACCCGCCGGGGAGCGGCTGAGGGGGCGCCGGGACCCGCCGGGGACCCGCCGGGGAGCGGCTGAGGGGGCGCCGGGGACCCGCCGGGGATCCGCCGGGGAGCGGCTGAGGGGGCGCCGGGACCCGCCGGGGAGCCGCTGAGGGGGCGCCAGGACCCGCCGGGACCCGCCGGGACCCGGCTGAGGGGGTGCCCGGACCCGCCGGGACCCGGCTGAGGGGGTGCCCGGACCCGCCGGGACCCGCCGGGGAGCGGCCGCGGCGTTCTCGGGGCCCGGCGGCCGCTCCTCCGCGGCAGTTGCCGCTGCCCGCAGCGCTCCGCAGAGCCACCGAATCGCTCGGAACGGACGAGGCCTCCTGAGGTCACCGAGTCCAGCCTTTGACAGGTCAGAGCGCTGCTGAGCTCCTTGTCGCTCCTGTGAGAAAAGCCAAGCGCTTGGTTTTTAATTTTTTTTTTTTAAAGTTTAGTAATAATAAAATGGTTATGAAAATAGTAATGCAATTAGAGTAATAAAATTTAGAGTTAGGACAATTGCAAGACAATAAAAAGCAAATAATTGTGGACATCCGGATGCTCTCGGACACTAAGTTATGAAAAGCATGCCTTGTGAACAAAGGAATAACCTTAAAAGCAATAGTTTTTCAGGTTATTTGAATATTTTTTCAGGTTATATGAAAGCATATTCATATAGCTCATACGTGATGCATAAAATCCTTGCAAATTATGAATTTTTCTGGGTTTTGTCAACTTCTCCTTAATCTTGGTGGTTCCAAAAAGACGGAGAGAAGGTGCAAGAATGTTTGTTTTTTCTGATAAGGAGGTGTAACTTTTTATGGGCCCCCTTTGCTGACATCTCTGTGTAAAGAGTTTCTTGGTTATCTCATCTTCCTGCTTGAGCTTGTAACAAATCCTATATCACAGAGTTTCTATTTTAACGTTATGTTGTAACCTAAAACTAACACACTACGCGAGAGAATTCATACAGCATAAATTTTTAACATTACACATATAATATTCATTGTAACATTTGTGAAAAGCCGATCATAAAATATGCATTTTTCACACTCCTTAAACACCTGCAGGGACGGGGACTTCACCACCACCTCCCTGGGCAGTCACACAAGCCCAAAAGGAGCAAGGTTTGAATGGAGCACAGTGGGCCTGCTCCTGCTATTCCTCATCCTGCTTTGCATTCATTTCCTTTTTATGACCATAAAAATTTTCATTTTTATGCATCAATAATTTCTCAATCAGATTAGACAAGGAATCTTTAAAATGTGGAAATAAAGAATAAAAACACCCATGGGAATTTCATGTTCATTTCTCCCCATGTTCCATCTCCCAAATCTTTTGCATAAACCTCAGCATCTATTATTAAGAAATTATATTTAAAAATTGTGCCTTTCTCCTTCACTTTGGAAGGAAAACAGAAAAAAAACCAGGAAGTCTGTTTTCTTAAGAGCCCTGGATTTCCCATCCAATTTGGTTCCCATTCCCCCAGGATGAACTACATGTTTGGAATAGAGTCAGGCAAAGAAAGTGGCTCAAGTTGTTCCCTTACTAGGAGTTTCCTAATAGGAAATTATTTATAAACTGTATAGAGGAATCTTGACCAGAGTATAATACCATTCTGCATTATTATTATTATCCCAAAATTCAGGTCCTCGGCACTAGTTCCACCATAGGTTCAGGTTCATCCCAATCCTTTAAAAGACACAGGAAAATTAAAAAGGCAAAACCAGTGCACAGTTCAACTATATTAAAAAGAAATTAAATAATCCACTAACACAGAGTAAGGAGAGCAAATTTCCTCAGGTGTGATTTAGATAATAGATTGGGTCTTTTAGATCATAAATTTGGATTCAATCATCCCAGTCTGTAGGCTTCTTTGATCATTAATTTTCCTCAGTGGTAAACAATCTAAATCATCTTGTGGGTTACCAGATGCATTTTGTTATCAATTTTTATTCATAAGTCTGATCTGGAATTTTAATCAAAATATATAATCAGAGTATATAGCTTTGTATATCTGTTAGCCAGGGTTCTAGAGATAGCAAGGGAAAGTTTTTCTTCAACTCAAGTCTTAGGAACTGCCTTACAGCAGGATGATATCACTAGAAAGTACTAGAAAATTAACTCAGAAAAACAAAAAAACTAGGCAAAATAAAAATGATCCATGGCAGAAGCTCAATAGCTGTATAATTATATTACAACTATATAATGATGTTAGATATGCCAAATTTCACTGTGACATGTGAAATACAAGTTTCGCCAAGTCCCTGAAACGACACGCAAGTACAAAGGGCAGGTAATAACCTACAATACGTTGTTTCAGTGAGGGGGTCTTAACGCAAATCCTGCGGAACAACTGGATTAATTCCCAACTCGCTCCAACAATTAGCAGACCGCGGGTTTGTAAAAATCCGAATTTATTGACCCCGATGCATGCTGGGACTTGTAGTCGGGGCACCGCTGCCGGCAGCTGTAACCCTGCTTGTGATTGGCTGGTGGTGCCGAATCGCTGCGCGGAGCCAATGAGTGGGCGGGGTATTGGGGAGTCGCGGACTCCAGGGCCCGGCCCAGAGAAGCATCCGCCACCTCGGCGTGGGCAGAACCGGCGTTCTCTTGTCCCTGTCCTGCCCCGTTCGGCTCTGTCCCGTCCCGTCCCGGATGGCCGCGATCTCCCGGGCACCCTCGGGCCGAGGGCAGGTGAGGCGCCGGCGCCCTGTGTCAGTGTGTGATGGGCAGCCTGGGCGCGGGCCGGTGCTTGTGTGTTGTGTGGGCAGGGATCTGTACGAGCTCCTTCCTATGGCTCCCTACAGAGCGGTGCAGAGAGCAGCTCTGCTCCAGGGAACCAGGACAGGACATGGGGACAGTCTGATGCTGTGCCAGGGGAGGTTTAGGCTGGACAGCAGAAAGGATTTCTGAGCAGAAAGGGTGGTCGGACATTGGAAGGGGTTAGCTGTGGAGTTGTTAGCGTTCAGGAACACAGATAATCACGGGATATGATTATATGCAGGTGCTTTTATTGAGAGCTTTGGGGATCAGGGGTACAGACCCAAATCTGACTCCGACATGGCTTTCAAGCTGAACGTATTTTATAGTCTATCATTATGTAATTTGCATATTAATTATTAAGCTTATATTGTTCTATTGTATACATTTACTTTATTCAAACATGAGTTTCTTGTGATCTTTCTCAAGCCCCTGACCACAGTTTCTCATGATTATTCTTACAATTAAACAATAATTATATTTAATTACTAAACAATCATCACATCTAACAATTATATCATTTATCATGTACTAGCTACACAGGTGCAGTTCTAGCAAGTACAAGGCCTACACTTTACTTTCCCAGGGTATTTTCCCAGGGCCTTCTAAGCTTAATTTTTTCCTTCTAACAACCCAAATCCCCATGATTTTAAAACCCTTTTACTCTCAGAGTCACCATCCCTGTGGAGTCACCATCCCTGGAGATGTTTGAGGAAAGTCTGGATGTGGCACTCGGTGCTCTGGTCAGGTTAACAACATGGGGATTGTCGCTGTTGAGGCAGGACAGGAATAGAAAAGACTCCAAGATCAGAAGGCAAAGAAAAGAACTTTATTAAGAAGTAGCGTTCCTCTTTTATAACCAGGTGAAATAGGATTGGTCTCAAAGTGAAAACCTTTCACAACATTGGTACACTTGAACTTAGGTCAGTGTGGCAGAACATACCTATAAACAATATGAACAGAGAGAGAGAGATAATAATTGTTGACATTCCTCTCGGACTTTTTCCCAGGCTTAGCCTGGCAGAATCTCTCTCCTTTTCTCTCTGACTGAACTGAGAACATCCATAGGGATCAGTCACAAAGTGGTGTCAGCTCTTTCCAAAGGTCAGTGACTCTGTGATTCTTGGCAGGGCTACAGCCATGGACCCCGCAGGACCAGCAGCCGTGGTGACCTCAGGGAGGGCACGGAGCTGGAGGAGGCTGGAAGGGCTCTGTCCCACCACGGCAGGTTCCTGACGGTGGGCGATGGGAACGCTGCTGGGATGCAGCAGGGCCGGAGGCCGGGAGGCGCCGTCGGGGCAGGCAGCAGCCCTGCAGCCCCGCGCAGCGCCGCCCGCGCGCGCCTCAGCTCCGTCCTCAACAAAGTGGCACAACTGGAAAGCAAAATCATGGGGCACAAAAAGCACCTGGAATTGCACAACACTGACTCGGGCATGAAGCCTTTGGCTGAGGAGTGCACCTCGTCTGCCTCTGGGCACGAAGGTGGTGCCAGGGGCAAGAAGTACTGGAAGAAGAATTATGGTAGCACCAGTGGGAATGGGACCCGGAGAGATGCCTGTTCTGAGGAAGAGGAGAGCATGCAAAGCCCTAAAAGGAGTGTCGTGGTTAAACAGCTTGGTCTGGATAGTGATGAAGAGGAAATGAGAGAATTGATGGAGTGCTCTTTGGGATTTTCCAGTGGAAGTGGGAAACAGAAGGTTCTGGTAAGTGATGCCCAGTGGCGTAGAAAGGTAAATACAAACTTTGCTAGATTATGTATTTCTATTAATGCTTTTATGTAATTGTTCTAATTGGTTGATCACTTTTTGTTTAGATAACACCAGCAACTAAATTCTAAATTTGCATTTGTGTCTTGCTCATGATATGATTCAGGTTCACATCTTAACATCTCAAAATTTTACCCACAATGATTTGTTCTCCCTTTAGCAATCTACATGTAACAATGAAGTAACACATAAATCTCTTTTTAATATTCTTCAAAAAGAGCAAGACTCCAGTTCCATCAGGAAAGGCTCCTCCACCTTGTAAGGAAGTTTCATCAGCAGAGTCATCTAAAGCATCTTCTTTTCACAACAAAGACTCAGAGCAAAGTGTGTTTGGTAGAGTTAATTCACCAGCCCCTTCACCCACCAGCAGAAACCTGTCAGGACATACCACGAGACCTCGATTGCTGTCATCTTTCATGAAAGACAACACTGTAAAGAGTGCTCTGCCTGAAGCAGGCTACACCAAGCAAATCCAAGAATCCATTGAAAGTGACAGAAGTGAAATAAAGTCATTAGATGAATTGTTTTCTGAAGGAGCTGATGGAGAAGATCTATCCAGCAGCAGCTTGAAATGTAAGTTTTCTAAAATACTGTCTCAGTAGACTCAGTATGAATTGTACTGATAATCTCCTGATAAATTCTCTTAATAAACATGGGCAAATAGTCACTTTGAAAGGATTCACTGGTGAAATTTTGCATAAACCAAGGCCTGATAAAAGTAATTATCTTGATCTCTTTCTTTTTTCTTGTGTAATAGATTTGTATTTTTCTTAGCTTTTGACTTAATGGGCTCAGATTCATGATGCTGCCCTGGGTGACATCATGATGTCAAAACAATTAAAACATTTAGAGTAGTTTTCCTGTATCAGTGGCACAATGTACCAATGGTTCAGAGTGAGAACAGCTGGAAATGAGGGGTAGCAAGACTCTAACTTCGGGAACATCAGCTCATTAAAGGAGGAAATTTTAGGGATTTCTATGAAGTTAAAGAATCTGTGATTGATTGCTATTACTTTTTAGTACTGAACTAGGAAGGTAGTACTGATTTTTTCCCCCACTTTCCTCACTTACAGGAAAGTGTACTGTAATTTTTACACAAACTCTCATGTGTAGGTGTCATTTGTTTGCAGACTTTGGACTGAATATCCTGAGCCTCGATGATTTGGCACCAGATACTACCAGTAAGGCAGAAGAATTAAAGCAGAAAGTAAGTAGAAATTCCCCACTAGCACATATTCCCAGTCTGACTTTGGTAGAGTGTGGAGGTTCTAAAATAAATAATTTTACAGGAAAAAGACATTCCAGTTACTCAAGAATCAAAGAAATATGTGAAAAAAGATACATTGCTGGTGGAAGAGGACCAGGCTGCTCTAAAAATGACTAGTGCAATAACTGGTGTGAGTGATACTTCTGAAGAGGAGGTTGAAAAATGTATCTCTGAAGCTGAAATCTCTGAACATTTAAGTGGCGTTTCCTCAGATCTCCCTCCACACAAACAGGATTATCTTAATCAGAATGAGAGCACTGTTAATTCCGAATATTCTGAAGACTTTGAAAGGTCTCTGTCTACACCAGACAGGCAATCTGGAGAGGGACATGCTGAGAGCTGCAGTTCTGGAGCACACCCATCTTCGGGGCCATCCCCGTTGGTCACCCCGGGGCAGCACAGCCGGGGGCACCGAGTGAGCGTCACAGAAACCGGAGTGCAGACGGCAGAGCCTCCCTTCGCCTCCTGCCGGGCCGAGGGTGAGTTCAGCGCCTACTGCCCTCCTCAGGCAAGTTTTACACCTACATCTATGCCAGCCTTGAGAGACTTCTTTGTGGATGTGACAGCCTGATGAGAGAGTGAGAAAACGAGAGAAGTTTTCCCAGAATCGTCCTGGGAGACTTTAGGGAGCTGGAGATAAACAGTGATAGCAAATTATTAAAAACAGCCTACAGGTGTTGTTTTTGCTGCTGTTTTCTTGTTATTCTTAAAGACTGTTTATAAAAGGGCATCCTGTTAATTAGGTGGAGTGTATTAACTAAATAACCAGTCAAATCCACCTGTGTATAAAAAGGAGCCATCTGAAATAAATGAGCACTATATGCACCACGCAACCTTCTGATGACTTTATGTCACTTCTTACTAAACAGTAACACTTCACTTCAGTGACAGCTTCCCCTCACTGGTGCTAAATAAAAATTTTTCTAAAGCCGAGCACTTTAATCTGCTGTCTATATGGGATTGAATATCATCATAAGGAATGTTTTTTGCTTAAAAATAGCCCCCACAGGACCTGGGGGGATGAGCAAGTGTTAGGGACAGAGCTCACAATAGCACGAGTAGTACTCTCAAATGATATTCAGTATTCTGCTATCTTTACTATTGTAAATAATTGCATTATTAGTGCTGGTATTAGTAGTGTTACTAAAGTGATTGCTCATTCAGAGTTCTTTTGCACTATACTTCTTTCTTGGGAAAGCATTCTGGCCCCATGACAGGATCAGATGAGCTTTAACATCCTGCCTACATCTCTTTACTAAAAGGAAAAAGTGCGAAGAGCCACCATTCCTTGCCACACTCGAGGAGGAAGTAGAAACTTGAGTGAGCTTGAAAAGAGAAGCATTGAGTATAAAAGTCTTTACTTTTACTCTGCCTAGGGTTAGAAAAGGTGCCTTCTGCAATGGTGTTGTGAGCCTAACAGTAAAGAAACTGTGGAAGCTGTATAACTATGTCGACATGTTTTTGGCTGACAAGAGTTCTCCTGTTAGGCTGTGCAGTGGTTTTAGGGCAGCTGCTGTCCCAAGAAACTGCAGGAGAGCCAAGCAGCAGCACTAAACCTTTCCCCTCTGCCCAGACTAATTCTGATGCTATCCTGTGCACAGCAAACCCTGCTGCAGTGCTTGGCCCTGCTCTGGGAACCAGCTACATCGATCCAGTGCCAATTGCCAGTCACGTCATCAGCATGGATGCAGTAGAAGGTACCAAAACCACCTTTATTCTTCTTTTTTCCTGTTTTCTGCATGAGCCTGGCTTGCTTTGCTCAGCACGCAGGGCCCTGTCCCTTTCTCGCAGCCCTGACCACGTACAGCCCCTCTGTTCTCGTCTTACACACCATGTGCAAGCAGCACCTGATGCTGACCCAGCAGTTTGTGGAGAGCATTCACCACCTTCACACAGCCCTCGTGGAGTCTCTAGAGCATGAGAAGTTCCACTACCATACCCTGGAAGAGGCTAAAGAGGTATTTATGACAAACCAGAGACTGAGCGTGTACTCCTTCCCAAACGGGTACTTACAGAAAACCTAGTTTCTCTGCACATGATTAATGAATAAGTTTAAAAGAAAAAAAGACTGAAGTCCTGCTGGAGGCCATAGTTTTTAAAGGTTAAGGTTTCTGCTGTAGCATTTAGCTGTCCTCAAATGAGCAGGGGTCATTCAGATGCTGCAACAGAAGGGTCACTTTCTATTGCTAGTACAGAAACATGCAGCTATCTTGACATGAAGATTAGTTGCTTTCTACTATTTAACAAATAATAATCTACATAATGAAGACATTAGCTTATTAACTTTTTTTTTTTTTTTTTTTTTTTTTTTTTTTTTTTTTTTTTTTAGTACATCAAGAATCACAAATCCCCACCTCTAACAATTGAGCAAGCACTTGAAGAAATCCGGAGAGCCCAAGAGAAATAACTGCTTGGACAGTTATTGAACTTTAAGTGACATTTATATTCATGGCTCTAAGGCTGAAACAAGAAACCTTTCCAAGTTGCACAGATAAAAAATTAAAACTGAAAAACAGTACTGGAAGGATCCATACAAACTGCTATGTTAGTTATAAATTAGTACAAGTTGCTAATTATTATATATAATTTAGTTTTCTATATCTGAATGTTTTACTTATGTACACAATACACGCAGGAACCTTCAGCCAGACTATGTCAGCAAAAGAGACAAGGTAACACTTCTGTGTAATGGCACTGTGGTAAGTCATCACAGTGCATGCATTTACCCAGTGAAGTGTGAGATCTGTGATCTCATCTATGATGGTGGTAGAGGTGAAAGTCTGTATTACAGCCTCTGAGAAATACAACCACAGCAGAAAATTACCATATCCTGACTTCAGTGCCATTATCCAAACAGCTTTTCTATATAATCAGCCTTGTCAGATTACAACAAACCCAAACACACATTTGGGTGTGTTTATTAAGAGAAATTCCAAACAAGGTAGAGGAAATCTCAGCTGAATCTTTATTTTAAAAAAATTGTTTATTGGAGGGCAAAACAACAACATTCACAAGTTGGTAACATACTTGTATGCTGATTCACAGACAGGTACAGTTCCACAACTACAGTAGATCTAGAACAAACTGATATTCCACCATATTAACTGAATGGTTTTAAGAGGGTTTTTGCTCTACAAACAAACAACTGGAAAAGGGAACTGCCACGCAGACCTGGGGAGTGGAAGTGCAGTGTAAGGGCCTAACAGCTCTAGCTGGTGGTCTCTGGAAACAGTTACAAAAGGTTTCTTTCTGTTTTCATTTAGATTACATCAAGTTTCCAAGAACATCTCGTTGATAGAAAGGTGTAGAGCAGAGAAAATGGATTCTCTTCTATTTAACTAATTAGCTTTTATTAAAGGGTATATACAAAAATATAAAAAGCTCAAAGAATGTGTTCCATTACAAAGCACTGCCCATCCCTCAGAGTGCTGGGAAAGCTACCAGAGAACTGCCCCTCGTGTCCTGCCCCTCGTGGTGGCTGCAGCAGCTGCTGGGCAGGGTCTGGAGGCGGATGGAAGGTTCTAAAAGCTTGCACAGTGCTCAGAGGTCACCTGCACTGGAACTAGATGCTTCATTCCCCATTTAGACATTAGGATACGCTGCTCAGCATCAGTCTGACTTGATCCCAAGGCAGCACACTTCCACTTCAAATAGAATTAACCTTTTGAGAGAAATAAACGTACATTATGGAACTAGAAAATACACAACCACATCATATAATGTCTGTATTCCACAGGAATGAATGAAGCATAGTCCTGCACCAGGAACAGCTAGAGTGGGGTTTAGTTCCACTGTAAAATGGGGAACTAATTAGAAAGTTTTACAAGATAGATGGAAATTTTTAAACTTGCTAGACATGTCTTTTTTAAGCCTTTTTTAGGCCCTTTTTAAGCCCTGACAAGTGTTGAAGTACATGTCATAGCTTTCCATTTTTCACCATAATTTTAAAAGTAATTCATTTGTCACTTCCTCCAGACTTTAATCTGGATTTCTAAAAGTTTAATGTTTTGCAAAAGATGCAAGATATCTTTCTTCAGAGTCTTACTCAGGTGGTGAAGAGTCTTTTATTTCACACTTCACTGGAACAATAGGGAGAAGATTCTTACACATTGCACAGTTACCTAAGTTGTCTGAAGTGCTTGGTGGAATGAGGGCTCTGTTAATAAGGAATTTTTCCTTATGGGTTTTATTTGAACCCATTTCATTGCAGATATAGAGGCAGAAGTGACATTTCCATTGAGCATGCCAGCTTTTTCCTTTTAGCTGCTGCCAACTGCCAATGTCCAGTGTATCACAGACTCTCTGCAAAAATCCATCATCTGGGTAACTGTCTTTTTCTGAACCTTTTCTGCACCACACGAAATTTATTACCAATTCTGGCTTTGGCAGAACATGATACTAATGGTAGGAAACTCTGAATAGGGCAGGGGTAAACAGTAAGCATGGCCCTGGTTCCAACCACAAGGACCTGTCTGCTGTGGCAGCTGTCCCTTGTGTGGCACAGCTCCCCCTCCACTAACTTAGTGACTGCTCCAAGTCTTTGTGGGGCAACATCCAAAGATGCAGGTGCTCAGTACTGCAGCCAGGAAGTGACTTGCACAGAACACACTAATTAATTAACATTTCAGAAATTAGAACACAACACAATGCCTAAAAAGGAAAACCTGCTGGGTTAATCAAAGTACACACCCACTTACCTGTTGTTTTACTGTATCAGTTACCTTAGAAAAAATTAAGAGCTACTGCTATTTTGATTTGGGTTTGCAAAAATCACTTTCAAGTCCATAGCGGTTTTTAAATTGCTGAGAAGCATTCACTTACATTCATCCCTGGCCTTCATGCGTGCGATAAATGAGTAACTTTTATTTCTTCTGTAGTTTTCATAAGGGTCATCCAATGCAACTCCCACTCCTTTGTACTGATCCCATTTGTCTCGGATATCACCTCCTTTAATTGGATCTTGAATTCCTTGCTCCTTAGCTCCTAATCCACCAGATCCACTCCATCCTGCAGCAAGGACACAACATTGCAATCCTTTCACTGGTTTGTTTATTACTAGAATTGTGAAGACAAACATGGACATTTTGGAAACAACCAAAGACAGCATCAGTTTGATAAAGCAGGATGGGAACAGACAACCTGAAACAGCACATGAAATGTCCCATTTATTTCACAAGTATTAATACACAGAGATTCTAGGAGCTGACAGCAGCAGTATTCCTAAAAACTGTTAGGAGGTAAGAAAAAAGGCAGTGCAAGTCCAATCTGCCTGGTCAACTGTGCTGACCTGCACTACAGGGAGACAAAATACTTTTGGGTAGGGTCAGTTCTATCTGAATCCAAGCTCACATTCCTGTCTTCTCTATTTTTCTCAGAAAGGCAACTATCACTGCTCCATATATTTACATCTCTGAATATTCTTATGCTGACCTTGGAATGCCAAGGAATAATTCCGTATGAACATGCATTAATTATATCTAAAACTTTACTGTCTAATTTTGTTTCCTGGCTTGTGTAAGATTCTAGAACAGCATCTTACCCATTTTCACTAGCATTTGATGGCCTTTATTTTCTTCTCCAAGTCTCGATTCTGGTATAGGAGGCCCAGAACTGGAGCCCAAACCAGCAGAAGAACTAAGAAAATAACAAATTAAGAACCAGTGACATTATTCTGACATAAAACACAGTCAGTTCTATCTTGTTAAATATTAACAGCCAACACAATTCCCTGCACTCTACTAAGCTATTCTTTATTAAAGCCAACAGTTTATGCAGTTATTGAGGTGCCAGAAACACATCACCTGCTTCTCAGTTTGATTTCTCAGGGAAATCAAACACTGTGCTCTTCCCAGTGGAGCACACAGAGAATTCCTCCTGCTTTCAATGAAGGCATACACAGACTTCACAGCTGCACGCAGTTTTGCTGAAATAAAAAGCCACCACAATAGAGTAATATTCTCTCTACAGGCCCATACAACAGATAAATTGTTTATAAATCTGCTCTCCATCTTTTCTGCTCTTTGTTGAAACACTAATTATCCCCTGGTAACGAGGCAGTGCCCCTGCAGGCTCTCTGTTCAAAGAGCCCAGGTCAAAGGAGCACTTACGGAGGAGTGGGGCTGCGGGAGCGGGAGCGGCGCCGCCTTCCTGGGGAGTACGACTTGGACCGGGACCGGGACCGGGACCGCGATCGGCTGTGAGAGGAGCGGGACCTGCTCCGGCTTCTGAAAGGGAGAGCACAGAGTTACCGAGCAACCCCACGCATCCCTGCGACGGCCTCCAGGGCTGGGTCCTCCACTCCCCAGTTCCCAAGGTTCAGCCCCTGTGCCCTACCTGGACTGCGAGCGAGAATAGGAGCGGGAGCGGGAGCAAGAGCGGGAGCGGGATCTCGAGTAGGAGCCAGATGATTTTGAAGATCGTGAGTGAGACCGGGAAGATGAACGACCTCGGCTTTTAGACCGACTGCGAGACCGGGAGGGCCCACTGCACAAATGAGCAGAGAAACTCCCGTGAGATTCCACAGAGAGGCACCAGAAACACAACTCTACTCCTGATCAAATTCAAATTACACACAAGCACTACTTCTGCAGTGAAAGTGAAAGCTTGAGTGTGAAAAACTGTTTCACAGAATCACAAAGCAGTTTGAGTTGGAAGGGACCTTAAAGCTCATCCAGTTCCAACCCCTGCCATTGAGCAGGGACACACATGTTGCTCCAAGCCCAGTTTAACCTGGCCTTGGGCACTTCCAGGGATAGGGCACCCACAGCTACTCTGGGGAAGCTGTGCCATGTCTTTTTTCTGCAGATTAGACAGAAATCCCAGCTGAAACTCACTTATTCCATCAGCATGTTGCTGAACAGACTTTCCCTCTGCATTTAGCCCAAACACTTTGAACAGCACACAGCAGAAGGTGACACACAAGAACTCTCACCTATTTCTCTTCTCTTGACCTTTCCTCCGCCTCGCTCTCATTTTAGCTCTGAAGAATTCATACAGTCCATTCTGCTCCCATCCTTCACTGCAACAAATCAACCACACAGAACCCACACGTGTGAATTCCACCTCAGTGCTGACCTTAAGGATTTTCACCAGATTTTGTACAGAACAAAGGGTCTGGGCAAAACTGTCTTGCAAATCTCAGTATCAGATCAAACAACAAGTGCAGTTGCAATACAAGAAGAGCATTTGGAGAACAAAGGCACAGGTGAAAGAGAGGGAGGTACTTTGTGGTTTGAGGCACATTCTTAGGGTATTTTCTTTACCACTGTATTGGCTACACCTACTCTTACCTGTTTCTAGGCCTGTCATGAGATGGTGGACTATAAAATGCCTCAACTGCAGCCAGGAGTCTCTCACTGGGGGGCATTGGAGGTGGAAGACGTATATCTTTAGGATCTAAAGGTTTATACTCATGATCTTCAAGCTGCCAGAAACAAAACAAATTACATTCGTGTCATGTGTCATGGGGTGGCTACCTGAAGAGTTAAATACAGATTTAGCCGTGTAGAGACCTCAAATTTCAATAGTGGATAAAAAATTATCTGGAAATAAGGATTCTGCAGATGACCAAATGCTTCCTCGTGCTATCATTATTGTGAGTTCTCTGAGAAAAGCCTGCACTGCACAGGTTGCAGTATCAAGTGGATCACCAGGTAGATAAAATGCAGATCTCATCCACCTTTGTGCTAATGTGTCTGCTGGAAGCCTGGCACGAAGTGGTGTATGAGAATAACACGAAGAGATGAAAGAGGCTTATTTGTTCATCTCAAATACAGAAGACACAAATCTAAATATCCCTGAAGATGTTGATACAGGTATTTTTCTTG